TATATATACATACATACATACATACATACATGACCTCTCTAGAGTATCAAGGACAGTCGCCAGATAAAAAACTATCAGCTTGTATAGCCGTACACTATAGTGTCGCATTACTTATTCTATTTAGGTCTATGATAATTACCTCTAAGACTGAATCTAGAGGTTCATCAAATCTAGTCCTTAACCTATCGAGGTGGACATAGTAAAAAAAATCGAGGTGGACGCAGTCCAATATTCACCTGAATGTTTATGTCTACACTATACTCTACAGAGTCAGACGGATGTTGGACTTTTGAAGAGTTGACAATATATGTTATTTATTTATTTATTTCTATATTGCATATAAAAACAAAATACATAAACACTCCATACTCCATGCTCCATACTGATCACATACTCTCAGTTCACAGCTTACACTTATAAAGCTTACACTTATACTGAAGTCATCAGTTGTGTCTCAGTGTAAACTGTAGATTTATATAGTAATCAGTGTCTCAGCGTAAACTGTAGACTAAAGTGTAAAAAGTAGTGTCTCTGTATAAACTCTACACTGTAGTCAACAGGGCCTCGGAGACTCAGTGTAAACTGCGACTGTAGTCATCACTTATAGTTTCTGTCTCAGTGTAAACTGTCTCTGTGAGTCAATGTAAATAGTTCACAGTTTACACTGAGGCAATGATGACCACACTCTATTATTAGAGTAAATACACACACTACATAGTTCACAGTTTACACCGAGACAATGATGACCACACTCTATTATTAGAGTATATACACACACTACATACACACTACACACTTACACGTCTCACAGTGACAGTACTGTGGTACATAGTACAAAAATTCACTATTGTGAACGTGCCTGTGTATTTTATTTTAAACTGATGAACTCAAAACAACTGTGAATTCAGAACTAAATATAGCGATGAGCCGATGACACTGTTGTAGAGTGAGGTCTCACCGTGGTGAGCTGGCACTGTCTGTTTAATACTTTTCTTATTAAAAATCTGACCGGGGGGGTTTTTATTGTTTATTTTGGTAGATCATGTATTTATTTTTAATTTTTATGAAAGATAGAGATACATATTATATAAAAGATGACCAAAATTAGAAATGCCAAGGGTACTTGTCCTTGACCCACGAGGCTGGAGCCTTAAGGTTTGAGCCTTTGAGGTTTGGAACTTGAAGTTTGAGGTTACGTAACTTTCACAAGGTTTGACATTTGAGGAATGAATGTCCGACTGCACTCACAGTCTCAGTCACTCTCAGACTCTCAGCACTGTGCGACTCCACCTCTACAGACTTCGCCGAGCACCACAAGAGACAAGTGGAAAAAAAAATGGTGTTATAGGTCTCCACTCTGTAGACACTCTCCACGACATGATCTCTAAAAACTCTGTAATACACACACACACATACACACACANACACACACACACACACACACACACACACACATACACACACACATACACACACACACACACACACACACACACAGATAGCATTATAACATGTTAGTTTTGCACGTCAACTATACGACCCTAGTGGCCGATACCGGTCCCGAATTCCCAGGACCTCATGAGGTACAGCACTACAGCCTACAGCCATGAGTGCGGGCCTGAAGGAATTTCTGAGTATAAAAATCCTGAAGTCTATAGAGAATCTATCTATAAGCTAAGAGCTTGATCTAAAATCAAGCATGCATTTGAATATCTCTCTTAAAATCAACACTTAAATCCGTAGCGATTTAATATTAAGTGACAAATTTATATCCTCTACAAATATACATGAAATTTGGAACGGCGAAGGTACTTTTCAAAAAGCCAAAAACTGGCTACAAGCTTCTATCTGACAAGTGCTTAGGCTGTGGGATGCGCGTGTTGGGGATAGAACTGTAGGTCATTATCATCCTGACTCATGAACGATGTTCGCGATTATTGAGTTCTGACTTTTGGCGTCATGGGCATCATCACAAATTTAGCTTCTGCGGATAGAAGGAATGAGCTCCTCAACAGGAATATCAAGCAAGAAACGTGATATTTACTTTTTAGGCAGGTCGGGTCTCTTTCTGTTGCTGTCTTTTCCGATTTCTCATAGTTACGGTATCTTTTGCGCTCGATAAAAAGATTATCCATCGGTGTTAACAAATCGCCATACCATACCACCGTATTCGATATAGCTGATTCTCGTTATTAACAACACTTTCCTTGAATTGGGTTTAAATGTACTCATCATCAAAATAGGAACTATTATTTACCTGTAATATGATCACGTCTCCGGAGGGCAATGTAAATGGAGAAAAGTTAATATACTATCGTTGGGGAGAACATAAATAATGCTTTTATGTATGAATACCTGATAATAACATTTAGACCTTGTTATAAAACTGTAAATATCTTGTTTCTGATTGTATGGCTTCCATGCAAATTCCTGAATTGCACGCACCACCTCAATTTCGGTCAAGTGGCTTCCAGCGACATTTAGCTTTCGGGACACACCAAGCAGATCGAAACGCCTCAAACAAGCACGAAGCCGAACTGCACGAAGCCCTCGCTTAAACTCAAGAATCATACATTGTCGAGACTATCTTTCAGAAATCTCGTTCCCACGTGATGAACAGAAGAAAGTACAAGACGGACGGTACTAAAGGCTTTCATGGCCAACGAACATACGTTCCCAACTACATTTAATGGACTAGTAGTTTGGCGAGCTTCTGTGTAGGTCTTCTGCAGATTGCTGCCGGTCACGAGGTACTCTATGTGACGTCGGTCATATTAATGTTCTGCGACGTGCTCATGACGTACGTTACGGTTCTTTGTCATCTGCGAAGAACATATTTCGTCAACAACATCCAGTTCAAAGATGCTGGAGTGCCACGCTCGTTCAAATAATGAAGGCGATATCACTGATTATGCTTAGTTTCTTTTCCTAGCTGTGAACTCGCTGTTGGTGTCACCAACCGCTCTTCTAGCTGAGATCTTGCAGGTATATTACATATGGTATCATTGAAAATGATAGATGAAGCACTATCAAAGAAACAAAATTAGATAAGGAACTGATAGAACTCGAGAACGCGATCGACCATTGTGGATTTGAAACTGCTTTCTTTCCTGACTATAGTCTACGATGTATTTAATGTTTCGTAAGATTTTATTAGTTATCGCTAGTTCCCTGGTTCAAACTACATCTCACACAGTCACGGACTGTCCATCATCAGAGGTGATTGAGCTGCTTCGTCTTCATCCTTTTGTGAAACAACAAAAACAGACAGCCGCATCGAATGAGAGAGATAACATGGCTAAGAGCCGGTCATATATACCCGGGGATGATGTATGTGCAGCTCTAAATAGCAATCTGCGTGTCATACAGACAAAAGAAACAGTATAATCTCACCATGTATGTAGATTAGAGTGCAAGTCTAGAGTAATGAATTCGAATTTCCCCAGACGTTGAAAAATACAGAATTTGTACCTGTGTCTTCAATATTTCCTCCCTCGTCTTGTCATCACGTCGTTCCCGTGCGCGCGTCCTGTCCATAACTTCCATTTTCTCCAGCTGATGCAATCGAAGATGCGTTACTACCGTGGGGTGAAATTTCGCCAATGCCAAGTCTAACGGCGATTTGCCTTCTTCGTCCTATATTGTGCAATGAGAATGCAGTTCAAGAGTTGATTCTCCGTTGTATCTTCCTGTTCATTTGTTGAAAAACAGTAGTCATTCTATATATATCAATCTAAGCTATACTTGCGGCACAAACACCATAGCTGATACCGAAGGAAGTATTTCCGGCTTCCAAATGATGGGTGTGTATTTCAGAGCGTCTACAAATATTTCGCCATTCCTTCACGATGGGTCACCATGACAATCACAAATATGATACAGATTTGGAGACAAACAATGAGTATCCAACTGGTTTCTGAAGTGACATCTGCCTTACCTTTACTTCTACAGTTGCACCTCGACTGAGGAGAAACTCAACCATTCTGTAAGAAGAGATATGCGTGAATGCAATGAGTGAGAATAAATCTCCAAAACAGGCTTGTCACCACATGCGTGTTCTGTGGGAAATTAAAATACGCCTAACTCATTATATTCACCGGCACTCGATTAATATTATACTTGGGTCGATTTTGAAGGTAGACAAAGAACCAAGAAAACCTGCGCACTCACACCAACAGATATAATGCAGGCCCACAATTATATTCACACAAAACCACTGAACTATGCAAATCGGAAGTGATAGTACACACAAAGCCACAGGCATTGAATTGAATCGGGACTTACATTTCGTGACCTTCATCGGCAGCCACGTGCAGCGGGGTTCTCCCTTGCTTGTCCGCTGTGTTTATATTGGCATAGTTTTGGTACAGAAACTCTGCGCATGCCACATTCTGGAAATGACAGCACGCTGTAGCGGGAAAGAGAAAATTGAGACAGTGAACGTTTAGTTATATGTCAGGGTTGTTTTGTTTGCCGAGTATATTTAATCACAACACTACGCCCTTGAGTTAGCACATAATATCCTAAGAGTCTATCCCAGGCTGTCAGCTTCAATTCCAACAACACACTGGATTGATTTACAAGCTGGTGTACGTGATGTCAAGTGTATTCAACAGTGCGCATGGCCAGAGAATAATTATTTTAGTGAGGCGTTAGAGATTGGCGGTGACGTGCTACCAGACAAAAAACGTATTGTGAGACTACAACTCAACTTTGTATAGCCACACGCTACGCGCTGCGCGAATAGTGCAGAGCACTCAGCAGAACAACCAGACGCCGTTGGTGCTCAACCGCTAAACCCTAAGCTCTGTGCACCGCACTTATTTCCATATCTTGCACGAATCTTACACAACAAAGAAGCAAACAGCATATGCATATAAATACATACGTGAAATTCAAATATACGCATATAAATCCTTACATAACACTTTACTACATCGCCTCGGGTAATAGTTACTACCATGTAAAGGCGCCCAGTCATCGTTGAAGTCCGTTTGCCAATTCACATCCGCCCCATTGGCTACAGCTCTCACAGCCAATATCATATCACTCGCTTCCTTACTGGCATCGAATAGTATCTGAGTGGTAGTGGTGAGCGGAAGGAGCATAGCCACCGGAGAGATAAGACGTGAATTTTAGTTTACCTCCATGTTCACAGCAGTTAGGTCGATTTTAAATATAGGATGAACGAAGGAGCGAGGCTTTCGGACCCCAAACTACGGGGGCCCAGATACAGGTCTCCCACACTTGCATTGCACGAGGAACAAACACATCGCTGGTCGATAATAATGGAAATATAAACAGCACGTGCCGGTATTGTGATCGCTTAGCCCACAGATACAATATCATGCTGTTGGCGACATTCTGTGATCGAGATTGTATGTTCTGGCCATTCCCTAACTACCGATTGAGCACCCCCACGCGTTGGTCGGCCAACATGATCCACATACGGCGTAGTGAGAAGAGTCGTATACTACTAACAACTACCCACAATAAGCAATTAACCATCCTAAGTCCAAGCGAGTGGGTTTGGAGTGCGTCAGTGGATCAGCACATGCAAGGTGCAAAACATTGGGGCGCTCACCACACACGCTCGCCAGATACACGTGATCTGAACACCTGTACGTATAGCACAGTTTTCAATCGAATCATCTGCATAAGCGATCGCGGCATTCATACTATATGATATCAGAATCGTAACCAGAGAATCGTCGATGCCAATACCTGATTTAAGTCGTCTTTGTCCATCTCTGACGTCGCCATGAATGCCTTATCTATGTACTTTGATCGTATGAAAGCTTCTCTTTTCGTCCTGTGAATACGAGGGATGTATTTGAGATCAAAATGTACGGAGCTGTACACAAGCGAGTTGCACATCGACAATAATAGTAATAAACTGTCAGGCATTGTATCGTGTTATCACTGCAGCGTTTCGGTTGATCTAGGGTAGCGGTTATTTCATTTTGGCGAGAGGAGCAAGCCTAAGTGATGACAAACTCAATAGTCATATAACATGCCTAGCTTACACTAAACCATGGACAAGGAGCAAGCCTAGGTAATGACAAACTCATTAGTCATATAACATGCTTAGCTTATACTAAATCAAGGACAAGAAAGAGCCAATAGGTGCCTCCACGTGGCTAACACATACTGTAAATCGGTCAGCCTTTCAGATGCAGAAACCCGCCAGAAAATATGAAATAGAAGCCTTAGCCTTGGATCAGAAGCACGGAGTCTGTTATTGGTACCACGGTTCACACAAACAGCGCGCACCTTTGAGACGGGACGAATACCTAAGATATGTTCAAGATACTAACAAGGTGGTAGCTAACCACAACATCACACAGACAACTTAGTCATACAAGATCACACGTGCCCGCGCAGTGTCGCTATAAAAAGAAGCAGCGCTGCTCACCTGTCAGAACACATCTCGCGCATGAGCTCATCGGTATCGTCCACACCACTCAGGTACACCGAGTTCAAGTTGGTATTCCCAATAGCCAACATCATCTGTAGCCAGGGGAGGGGGTTGATCGAAGTCAGTATCGGTATAAGTGTACTTCGTTTCTCAGGTACCATCACAATAGCTAACAACTACTAGTAAAACTCAAATGAGAATCGAATTCAACGCCAGGCCCGTCTGTAGGGGTCAAGGAAGCGATGCTTCCCATAGAACGCACAGAACGCAATGCACCACGTACACACCATTCTGCAGCCCGTTTATGCAGATACCGCTATAGACCAACACACACACCATCCTATTGCCATTCACACCGTTTATGCAGATACTAACCTGCATCAGCGAGTCGTCCCAGCGGTCTAATGTCATACTCCGCACCTTACTGATGTGTGTGCCTATTTTCCTGTGCACTCCGCTGCACTCTATACATAATAAGATCTGTCATGCGAGTTAGAAGATAGCAAGTCGTGGTGTTGATATTGTAGAAATGATATCATCCGATTGTCCCTCGCCTGACATCCATGTCAAGTGTCAGATGTCATATGCCAACTATGAGGCATCTGTTTTCTGAATGGCAGGCGAAGCACCGGTTGAATGCCATTCTCTCAATCAGTGGCTGATCGCCGTGTATGATATTAACTAAGCAATGCCAAACACTAAGCGCACCGTTCATAGTGAGTCACACTGTACATGTCCGGCGTTTCGAGACAGCAGACTAGCGGTACGTATCCACTATTAAGTGATATACGAGGGGTTTCGAGTGTGTATTACATTGAAAGGATTCTCACGCACGACACTGGATGTATTGTATTGGTAGAAAACAACACTGCCGCCCGCAGAAAGCTCGAGCATGTGCGGCACACGCGCTGTGACCTGAATGGCTATGAACAACAGCACAAAGGAGATACACAGCCGTTATTAAATGACAGCACAATGTCAATCCAAACAAGATTCACGATTCGAAAGGCACACATCGGGCGCACATCTTGATGTAGCTTGAGCGCTTGAGTACCCCGAGACCCTTTGCCAAAAGTGTGTGTGTAAGGTGCAGTAGTACAGCCTACTCTGACACACGGAGTGCCAACACAAAGACTCCTTCGTGTTGCAAAGCGTAGCGCACCATTACTACTTATGGTTTCCATGGGCCTAACAACTCGACCCAAAGGCGGGGCTACGCACGCGGTGAAGCGGCATACATGTGAAACTAAACCAAAGCATATGGTATCAGGCGTAGCCGATGAATTCGGAACACACCGGGGATGTGATTCAAAGCACACAGGCGAATACGAGAACGGATAGACTCTTAGATATGAGCGTACGCTGTGTGTTTTCTTGCGGATACCAAGTCGCAATACGCATCACAACAATGGCCAGGCTTGCTATTGGCGAGCAATGCCTAAGCCCATCCGCAGGAGTGATATTCTTTAGACAGTATACAGACACCTCCATAAAGGTATAGACATACCCCTAAATTTATGCTCGCCCAGGTGTTGTCTGGCACGCCGCAGTCGCAACAGGTGTCGTTGCCTAAGACAGCTTTTATTTCCTCTCTCCTCGTGTTGCTCATGGGCAACACATTCATGCTCGAGAAACTCTTCCCCGCCGACAAATTTGCTTCTGCGTAGGATGTATTGAGTACAAGATGCATGAGGTTAAGCCATTAAATGCTATACCCCGGACATCGGAAATTAAACATTGTTTGCAACTAATCAGACTGGGGGTTTAGATACAGGGGTTCCCCACACGACTTACCGTTTTGTGGCCGAGATACACCGACATCTAATGCGTTACTGATATGTGCTTGTAGTGTTGCGATCCACGCGTCCTTGGCTTGCAGGCTAAGTGCCTGCATATTCAGAACGAATGATGAGATTGCTTAGGATGTGTATGATGTGTATCGCACATATGTGTTTTAATACGGGATGGGAGGACCAGTGATCAGTGGATAGTGGTGCAAATAGAACAAAAGTGAGCGGTCTTGCGTTCAGTTGCATTGGAAACTCCACACAATCCAGCAGAGGGGGCATTGTCAGCTGCCCTGTAGCAGCTTGAAGAAGTATTTGCAGACGCGTGGTAGATATGAATATTCCAATGAGCAAATACTTTCGCACGTAGTCACATCCTTATACACAAAAGCACAACTCATGACAAAATGCGCGACTCACTTTCGATTCACAAATTGAGAAATATAAACAAAGAAATAGGAATGGATTCTACAGTGTTATGATCGCGCTATAGCCCTCGAAGTTGCGCCAGTTCTAAAGCCAGTACACGATTTAAATCTGGTATGTACGTAGTTCCCCATGCGTGCTAATTGAGATTCACCCGTATTTGTGCAAGCGTTCGTACAAACGCAAAGTACTGAACATCTTCAGCAGCGCAAGGGGATACCGGCTGTGCCAGTGTATTGAGGTGTACATGACAGTCCCACGTGTATCTAAAGGGACCCTAATTGTTGTCTTTCTTCACCATGAGAGTGGTCTTGGATTGTAAGCCAGATCCCAGATAGGCCAAATCCTCTGGTATCTGGTGATTACGGGTGGAGTAGGGGCACCCCCTTTCCCCCTTGGCAACCCTTAAACCTTAAACCCTAACCCCCCCGCCTGTTACTTGTGGTGTGCAGGCTACGCACGTACGATCATTTGTACCAGTTTTATACTGTCCGCTCTAAGGATTGATTTACCTGCAACAGTATATTTTTCGACGGCGTAACCAACTCGAACACAAACTGGCGATCCACACCAGTCACAAAGCTCTTTACCGTGCACAGCTGCAGCTTGGCTCCCACCACCGCTTGGCCGCCTTTTTGTTGGAACATAACTTGCCCATCTGTGTTTGTGCGCGCAAAGCAGTGTTTAAATATAGGTGGGGCAGTAGTAAGGAGGTTAGTAAAGCACAAGCCCCGCGAGTTCGTGATTACATGGGGATGCTCAATATCTATTTGCAGCACCACGCACGGCTGGTCAATAGATCATACCAGACTGAAAGTGGGTATATTTTCTTCTAAGCCCTACTGGTAGATGGTCTGCCTGTTGCGATCTCTTCAAAGAACAATAGTTATAATACCCTACAATCTAAGATGACTTGGGTAAGGAAACCCCAGAGTTGAATAAATCTAAGTGATGGCTGTTTATACGGCGAAACTGGTTTGGTTCGCCACAGGATTGCTCGATTCAATTTTATTGGGCCCCCATAGAAGCCACATGCACGATAGCGAACCGGATTAAAGCACTCTAAATTGGCAAATATGGCCAAATAGGTGAATTTATCCGTAAAAAAATATGAGTTTATCACCTATATAGAGCATGTGTGTAGCATACGTTCAAAAGAAACAAAAACCCGATGGAATATATATATATATATATATATATATATATATATATATATATATATATATACATATCTATTTCTATATATGTATCTGCATATCTTTTTCTATAAATGTTATATATATATATATAAAATGTGTGTGTGTGTGTACATATGAAAGCACACACAGATACTGCCTTGCGACGACAACACTAGACATACACACCTTTGATGAATACGAAGTACTTTGCCCAGGATTTACTGCCCTTTTTCAAGCCCCTGGCGAACAGATAGCCTTCGCGGGTGGCTGCCAGAGCCAGTACTGCGTGATGGAAACAAGGGTAGAATACAGTATCGTATGTGAGGAAAGAGAAAACGGGGGCACTAATTGTAACGTGGGAGATGCAATGGAGTACGCACGGACTCACCAATGCACTCTCTTTTAGGTGTATAAATACATGCACAAAAATGATTAAACAATAATATTTTCCGAGAAGGTTCTGGTGTATATATAGCCTCTGGTGTTTATCCATGCCTAAATTGGATACATACTCACACTCGAAGAGAAGCTCGAATACACACACGTGTCCTGAGCACGGGCCAAAACTTACATGCACGTAAGTCCGAGGTCATACTCAATCTCCCACACAATCAAATCGTAAAACACAAACGCATACATACAACTTAACATACAGCTAACATATATATGTACATTCGGTGCAGAAAGGAGCACCATGTACCAAAACAATCCCGTGTCATTCTATAACTGTGCTTGTCTAATGAGATATCACGTACATACAAACAATAATGCAACCATCTCCAAGTCAGCTTCAGAAACTCGTCTAAGATATATATATATATATATATACACCCACAAACTCACCACACCACACACCCACCAACCCCCCTCACACACATACACGCACAAACACATACACACACACACAAACACACACATATATATATACTTATACATATACAAATATATATACACATACACATATATATATAATACACACACACACACATACTATATATAAGATACACACACACATACATACATACATATATATATATATATATAAATATATATATATATTTACATACATACATACATACATACATACATACATATACACAATAAATATATATATATATATATATATATATTTACATACATACATACATACATACATACATACATATACATATATATATATACATACACCCACCCACCCACCCGCACACACACACACACACACACAAATATATGTATACATATATATATATATAAATATATATATACACATATGCACAACAATAGCTTACGCGCTGCTTCCGTCATCGCTTCCACTGCACTCTCGCTCGCGGAAGCTATCGTGCCAGCGTCGTTGCCATCACTTGAATCGGCTGCAGGGTGTTGTTCGTGCAGTTTTTTGTGTAAAGCTGCAACTGTTGTCGCCCGACCCCGTGTATCGATCGATTCCGTACTGACTGTTTGAGCGTTTCCGGAGGACTTGTCATCTGTACAGTATTTGGAGAGTGTGATAGTCAGTGTTTCAATAGAAATTCCCGGTATTCAGTATGCTGCCGTTTTGATAGCAAGTTGATGCGATGCTATCCTACCGTTGAGGTAAGGCGAGGCTTAGAACATCAGTGTTCGTGCACAGACTACAATGCGCGACATCATAGCTACTGGCGTGTATGATTGGTCCAAGCTGATTGCGCTTAGGTTGAATACATGCCTGTGGCAAACTATTGGCCGAGATATTCAGCTAAGGTGCTCCAATGGCTTTAGCATATTACGAATGTATGTCATCCGAGATAGCAACGGGTCTACACATCGTCAGGCAGTCTGCACAAACCCACATCCTAAATGACACTTACACCAGTAGACACCCATACACTTCTCATACCGAGGTGGCCTACAACATACACCCACAACTTTCATGACATGTTAGCCACTTGTACACTACCCGCAGTGATGTACTCTACAATGAACATCCACAACTGAAAGGATCCCTATCCAGGCAGACGCTCATACATACATTGCAATACACACCCACAATTCATCAAGCCACACGCACCTGAGTGGCGACTCATATTCGTCAACGAGCCCCCAAGCGAAGTCAATCTGGGCTGCCTACTAGGTGAGTTGGTTCTTAGGTTGCTCTTCATGTTGAGCGCTGGGCTGCTATGGTGCGGCGCGCTGTGGTACAGTCGGGATGGTGGCGGGGCTCTGGAGAAGGGTTGGCGAGGTTTGTGTTGAGGTTGTTATATAATTGTTGTTTGTACGTTCTGCGAGGGATGGTTATACTATTCAAATTCAAGACCTACAAAGCGAGGTGGCTCGTTGATTGTTTTTAGTTCATAGCGCTGGGTTGTTACCGTATGGACTGCTGCGATACAGCCTGTAGATGATGGGATCTTCGAGAGCATTATAGCACTCACAGCCAATATGTTGGTATAAACACCACCCGCAATAGTAAATACTGCGGTTGTAGTGTAGGCTATAGTCATGCTACGTACTCCTTCGGCAAGGTGCGGTAAAGGTTTGATAAGCAAATCCGTGATTTGTGACATGTGAGTATTCCATACTACACCTACTAAATGGTTGAATCGTTAGATGTTTTTCATGGATTTCTTGCTCTGAGGTAGGGTGATGTGGATTGCCGTGATGCAACAGAAATTGTCGCTGTTTCCGTTTTAGTTTTTCGATGGGTTAAGAGTATGTATGAGTATATATAAAGATATATATATATATAAAGATATAAATATAAATATACTATCATTTAAGTTCTTCAAAATTTGAATATTAACTTTGGGGTATGGGCTGCAGACGGAATGCGATACAATACTTAGTCAGACGTACAAGAGCATTGAACTCTCTTCCTATGACAAGTAAAGCGCTGGCCTGACCCAATGGGACATGTAGTGCAACCAGAACGGATACGAAGGATGAGCTTGCTGTGCATAGGGCAGGCGCAGTGCTTCAAGGTAGATCACCCGTGTGTGTATATGTGTACAGATGCATCTCACAGAAAGACGATTGCTTACTCTGGTCTGGTAGGCAGCCCATCGCTTTCCACATCGACCCCAGCGGGCGCTTCGTTATTATTGCTCCTGGAGCCAACAGTATAGGTATCCATGGCAGAACAGGGTTAGTATCTGCCCTCCTCTTTTAGACATACAAGAGTCTCATCTCCAGTGTGAATAAAGCTTGACTACACAATCAAGATGGCTATGTAAAAGTATACCAGAAAGTTGATCACAGTCATACCGGACGTATATAGCCCAATGATATGTGCGATGCGAAAAACAAAAAACGGGAATGGCACTGCCGAGCTACAAGCACGTATACAAGTACACATATAAAAAACATAGATGTACACCATTGCCGTCAGCCTGATACCCACTGATTCTTGTTCGCGGCAGAGTCCAGCAACCCCTCCGAAACAAATTTTCACACGGACACAGTATATGTACGCATATGGTGGTAGAAGCATTCGCTATAGCCGATTCTGAGGTAGAACTGTCCAACAGTCTGCACGCACAATATATACACAAACATATAGATGTACTTATAAAATAAACATATAGATGTACATATAAAACGTATAGATGTATATATAAAACATATAGATTTATATATAAATCATATAGATGTATATTTACACAGCAATGTGATACATACAATATATACACAAACACACAGATGTACATATAAAACAGCAATGTGATACACACTTGATTTTGGAGTGGAAGGGGAGAGCAAATTTTCGGGTACATATTCATTCACACAGGCAGGCACCTGCAAATATGTAAGCGGATCTACAGATAATTGCAGACCTACACCAGATCTACACAAATAGACAACTTCAGTAGAGCAATTAACTTGTAATTTTTGGGTAGAAGAGATGCAAAACTTTTCAGCATATAAGTAGCATTGCACCGACACACAAAAATGCAAAAATGCACAGACACAGAAAAAGGCACAGACACTGAAACAGACACAGACACAAACACAGACACAGACACAGACACAGACACAGACACAGACACAGACACAGACACAGACACAGACACAGACACAGACACAGACACAAACACTCACACAGACACAAACACTCACACACACACACACACAAACACACACACACACACACACGTACACACAGTCAGAAGAGGTGTGCGTGCGTGCGTGCGCGAGTGCACGTGTGTTTATTTTGCGTTTTTGTGTGGGTGTTGTTATACATACACACACACATACATACACAGACAAACAGACACAGACACAGACACACAGACATATATATATATATATACAGGTATGCAAATATACATACATACATACATACATACATACATATACATATATATATATATATATATATATATATATATATATATACTATATATATATATATATATATATATATATATATATACTATAACTAATAAATAATAGTAGANA